CCCGGCTCGTCCCGGCGGCGGGGGACGCGGGGAGAGCGGCGGCTGCGCGCCGGCGGAGGTAGGAGGCGAGCGGCGGCCGCCCCCCCTCCCTCAGCGGTGAGGGCTGAGGGGGACGCGCGTAATGGCGGCTGGGGGGGGGGCGGCTGAGGGGCCCTCATGAGGAGCTTCGGGCTGTGGGTGTTTATTGTTTATTTTTTCATCCCTTCTCCTTTATTCCTTTATTTGTAGTCACTTTGTCGTTAATCTTATATCCTTTTTCTTCCGGCACGCGGATAAAGCCGCCCCGTAGCCACCGACCTGCACCGCAGCCGCAACCCCGCAAGGGATTCGCCGCATTTTGTACCCGGCGCGGATTTAAATTTGGTTTTTTAGACATTTCAGTCTCGGGTTTACGCGGTTTGAAGTGAGGTCAAACTGCCTTGGCTCTCCCTCCATTCCCCTACACGTCAAACAACACTCAAAGCCTTAATTTTACCCTTCCCTAGGGTTATAAATCCATAAATTCAGCATTTTTACGTTGAAACAATGGGATATGGATGCTGGGAGTTGTGGGTTTGGGTTAAAATTGACCCTAAAAAGAGCAACACCAGCCTTAGGTTGGGTTTGCGCCTCAGGACCTGGACGTGACCTCCGGCACCTCCACGTGGTTCGAGTTAAAAACGCGGATTTTCCCTTTTTTTCTGCTTTAAAACGGAAATAATTGAGCAGAATTGGGTAAAATACCCAAAGAAAAATGATTTTTACGGAAGGCCAAGTGCTGTAGCTCGGTAGCATCACGTGGTTTGCAGGAACTTCCTCTTTCGGGGGATTTAACCTTTTTTAAAATGCGATTTTAGCGCAGGCTCCTTGGATATTTTTAGTGTTATTTTAAACCAAAAATGTAATGTGGGTTGTTGCTTTAATTTTTTTTTTAATCTCTTTTTATAGGGTAATTTCTAAGAGTATTTACATAAAACTTAATAGGTTTTTTTTGACTCAGAACCCAAACCAAGCCCCAAAAAATCGCATTCCAACCCAGAATTGATGTTTCAATATTGTTTATTTGGGGGTTTTTTTGCTCCTTTCTCTGATGTGGGATCCTTCCCTGGACATCCAAAACTTTCAGTGAGCTCCTGGGAGCATCAGAGAGGGTGGATCTGACATGAGCTCATGATTTTCTTGGGATAAGACATTCCCCAAGGAAAAGGAGTATCCTGAATTTCATTTTTAATTTCTTTTTCCCCATTTAAGTCTGCCTTGGGCTGTGGGGATGGAAGGGACCAGCCCAGCCTCTTCTTCCCCAATTTGTGCTGAAATTTGAGGATATTTATCCAAGGGTGGGGTTTTCCAAAGGCTTCCAAAACCTGGATTCCTTCTCTTCCCACTTTTCCTTCCCCAATTTGGGATTTGAGTTGATTTTGCTGCCACACAAGGAGCTCATCTGGGTGTTTCCCTTTTATCTTTCACTCTTGAAGGTAAATAAAACCTATTCTCCCACTTCCTTGCCATCAGTTAAATATTCTGTGTGGAATTTGGGCTTTTTTTGGGGGGGAATTTTAGGCAGGAATGTCAGTGATGGAGTCAGGGAGCTGTTGCTGGTGTTTAAATCGATTTATCAAACTTTGTGCTGCTCTGAAAGTGGAACTTGAGGAAAATGTCTGGTGTTAAAATGCCTGATTTTGGTCCTGTTTCAGGAATTCTTGGTTGAAAGGTTGGTCCTGATTTTTATTTCTTTTTTTGCTGTGTCTGGATAGGAACCTCCTGCCCCAAAGGCTGGGATGGGGCAGAATTTTGGGAATATTCCAGTGGATTTCAGGGCTGGCGTTGATGTTCTGCTTGGGATGGGATGGACTTTTGCTGGGAGTTTTGTTTGGGATTTGGGAGCTGAGTTTGGCTTTCTCTGAGCTGGGAATGGGCCTGGAGTGGCTGAGGGGATATTCCATACCTGCAAAATGTCTTTTTCCATAGGAAAACTGGGATAGGGGAGTGGGAAAATGGGATGTTGGCTTCCAGGATGGCACAGAGTGGGAGGAATGACTTTGTTTGGGGTTTGGGTCCCTTTTTTCCACGTGGTTTTATCTCATCCCAGGAATTTTCTTGTTCAATGTTTCCTTTCCCATCCTGGTCCTTTTTTAGGATCCGCTTCCTTCAGGCTTTACAATTCCAGCTCAGCCCTTGCTGTTCTCTTTTTTCCTGGCAAATCCAAATTTCCAGGCTGGGATTTGTCCTCTTCCCATTCTCCAGGTGCTCCGGGACCATTCCCATCCTGCCTTCCTCTTCCTCCTCATCCTCCAGGGCACGTCCCAACCCCTCGTGTGCCCTAGAGTGGCTGGAACGTTCCCAGTGATCCTGGTTCTTGGAATTCCCAATCCACTGATCCCAGCTGAGATCCTGCTGGATCTGGAGCTGGTCACCGGAGTGTCCCCAGGGAGGATTCAGCCTGGTGCTGCTTTCACCTCGAAAATCCTGGGAATTCTTGCTTGAGCAGGCAGGTGGTCCTGCTGGAATGGGAGAACCTGGAATGGGAGCCCACCATGAATGGCAGAACCTGGAATGGCAGCCCACCATGAATGGCAGAACCTGGAATGCTAACCCACCATGGATGGGAGAACCTGGAATGGGAGCCCACCATGTAATGGGAGAACCTGGAGTACCAGCCCACCATGAATGGGAGAACCTGGAATGGCAGCCCACCATGGATGGGAGAACCTGGAATTGGGAGAACCTGGAATGTCAGCCCACCATGGATGGGAGAACCTGGAATGTCAGCCCACCATGGATGGGAGAACCTGGAATGGGAGCCCACCATGGATGGGAGAACCTGGAATGGCAGCCCACCATGAATGGGAGAACCTGGAATGCCAGGCCACCATGGATGGGCGAACCTGGAATTGGGAGAAACTGGAATGGCAGCCCACCATGAATGGGAGAACCTGGAATGGCAGCCCACCATGGATGGCAGAACCTGGAATGGGAGCCCACCATGAATGGCAGAACCTGGAATGGGAGCCCACCATGGATGGGAGAACCTGGAATGGGAGCCCACCATGAATGGGAGAACCTGGAATGCCAGCCCACCTGGAATGGCACAACCTGGAATGCCAACCCACCTGGAATGGCAGCCCACCACGAATGGCAGAACCTGGAATGGCAGCCCTCCTGGATCTGTCGTGCTCTGCTGGATTTGGGAGGAGCTGGAAGATGCCAGGATGGAAGGATTACATGGACGGACACCACGGATGACCCAGAAACTCGAGGAGCTCCTGCTGGAACTGGGATGTCCCCTCGGGGTGGGGTTGTGCTGGCGAGGGGAGGTCTGGAGATGACAATCCCAGAGATCCAGAGGGTGGTGAAATATCCAGAGCCATCCAGAGTCACGGGAAGGAATTCCCAGCTGCAGGAAAAGGGCTGGGAACGCCTTGCCCGAGTCCTGACCTCGATGAGAGAACATCTGGGCTGCTGTGGGTGAGGAATTCTCCAGGGGGAAGGACCATGGCACCCTCTGGATGGGCAGCACAGGAAGGAGGAGGAAAATCCAGGTTCTTCCAGAACATTCCAAGATTTTGCCATCAAACAAAGGAAGGGCAGGGCATCTCCAAAGGAGGTCCAGGTCTTGGGAGTGGACGTGGTGAGATCCCCATGGTGGGGTCAGTTCTGGAAAAGCTCTTGGAAAGGCCCAGCAGCTTCCCAGGCACGGCTTTGCTTCCAGCTTTGTTTATCTGCTCTGGAGTTAGCCCAGAGCCGGAAAATTCCGTGCTATTTATAGGGACGCATCAGGAAATTCTCCTTTTGGAATTTCCTTTTGGATGAACCTTCTGTGTGACGGGAGAAATTCCTCTTCTGCCTTCTCCTGAGGCTCCTGGAGAAAAGAGGCTCCAGAGGGGACCTTGTGGCTCTCCAGAAATCCCTGACAGGGAGGGGGAGTTGGGCTCTGATCCCAGGGGATAACGGGATAACAGGGAACGGCCTCAGGGGAGGCTCGGGGTGGAATTTCCTCATGGAAAGGGTGCTCAGGCCATGGAGGTGCCCAGGGAGCTTTGGGAGTGCCCATCCCTGGTGGTCCTGGTTGTGGCCATGGATAACCATTGGATAACCATGGATAACCATTGGATAATCGTGGATAACCATTGGATAACCATGGATAACCATTGGATAACCGTGGATAACCATTGGATAACCACGGATAACCATTGGATAATCGTGGATAACCATTGGATAACCATGGATAACCATTGGATAACCGTGGATAACCATTGGATAACCGTGGATAACCATTGGATAACCATGGATAACCATTGGATAACCGTGGATAACCATTGGATAACCGTGGATAACCATTGGATAACCATGGATAACCATTGGATAACCGTGGATAACCATTGGATAACCATGGATAGCCATAACTCGGTGCCAAGGTGGGGATCAGGCACAGCTGGGACCGGATGATGCCAGAGGTGTTTTCCAGCCGGGATAATCCCAGGATTCCGTGCTGGTGCAGATTCTTTGTCCTTTTTGGATTTCTGCAGAAATCCCTGACAGGGAGGGGGAGTTGGGGTCTGATCCCAGGGGATAACGGGATAAGAGGGAGCGGCCTCAGGCTGGGTCAGGGGAGGCTCAGGGTGGAATTTCCTCATGGAAAGGGTGCTCAGGCCTTGGAGGTGCCCAGGGAGCTTTGGAGTGCCCATCCCTGGTGATCCTGGATGTGGCACTCGGTGCCAAGCTGGGCAGTGGGCACAGCTCGGACCGGATGATGCCAGAGGTGTTTTCCAGCCGGGATAATCCCAGGATTCCGTGCTGGTGCAGGTTCTTTGTCCTTTCCCTCCATGCAGGAATTCTTGCTCTGTGCTCTCATCCAGGCTCTGCAAGCACCAGGGAGAGTTTAAAATCCAGAATTTTCTGTTTCTCCATCTGCATTGGGAAGCCTGGAAAAGTGGAGGCGGGAAGTTGAGGGGAAAGCAAGGAAGGCGTCGTTCGGCTTTTGCGTTGTGCTCTGGAGTTCTGGGATTTCCCTTCCCAGGGATCAGCTGGGAATGTTCTCCTGGAGAAGGGAGAGCTCCAGGGAGAGCTCAGAGCCTAAAGGGGAGCTTGAGAGGGACTTGGGACATGAGGGATGGAGTGATGGGACACAGAGACAAGGATGGGAGTCCAGAGGAGGCCACGGAGATGGATTCAGGCTGGGAGAGCTGGGCATGTTCCCCTGGAGAAGGGAAAATTCCAGGGAATCCTCAGAGTCCTAAAGGGGCTCCAGGAGAGCTGGAGAGGGACTGGGGACAAGGCCTGCAGGGACAGGAGCCAGGGAATGGCTCCCACTGGGAAAGGGCAGATTGGGCTGGGATCTTGGCAAGGAATTCCTGGCTGGGCTGGAATTCCCAGATTTGCTGTGGCTGCCCCTGGATCCTTGGAAGTGTCCAAGCCAGGCTGGATCCACCTGGGACAGTGGGAGCTGTCCCTGCCCGTGGATGGGATGGGATTTAAGGTCTTTTCCAACCCAAACCATTCCAGGATTCTGGAGCTCTTTTGCTCTGGGAGAGCTGGGAATGTTCACCTGGAGAAAGGAAAATTCCAGGGAATCCTCAGAGTCCCTGCAGGGGCTCCAGGAGAGCTGGAGAAAGGAAAAAGGGGGGGGGAAGGGGAAAAAAATGGAGAAAAACGGAAAAAAAAAAAGAGGGGGAAAATGGAAAAAGGAATGTTTGGGTTTCAGGGATCAGGGATTATAAAACGGGATAAGGGATGGAGGGACAGGAGGCAGGGAATGGCTTCCACTGGGAAAGGGCAGATTGGGCTGGGATCTTGGCAAGGAATTGCTGGCTGGGCTGGAATTCCCAGATTTGCTGTGGCTGCCCCTGGATCCCTGGCAGTGCCCAAGGCCAGGCTGGACACCGGGGCTTGGAGCCGCCTGGGATGGTGGAAGTATCCCTGATCTGGGGATGGGGTTGGATGGGATTGAAGCTCTTTTCCCACCCAAACCATTCCATGATTTCTACTCGGTGTCGCCACAGCCCCAGCTCAGAGCTCGGTCCCTGCTGTGGTGTCCCTGTCCCGGCAGCGGCGCCTCCGAGGCTCCGACTCTTCCCAAACAAAGCTGCCTGGAGGAGGAAGGTGAGGCTCTCCCTGATATCTCCAGACCATTGTTTCCTCCATCTTGGCATTTCCTTAGGAGCATTTCCAGCGTTTCCTTTGGAAAGGTCAATCAGGAGCTCCTCGTCCGCAGCCCTTCCTAGAATCCCGGACTAGTTTGGGCGGGAAGGGACCTCAAACCCCATCCAATGCCACCCCCTGCCATGGAGGGGGACATTTTCCATAAACCAGGTTGCTCCAAGTCTTTCCCAACCTGGATTCCATCCCTGAGGTGTCAGAGGTGAGTTGTTATCCCCGATCCTGCTGTGGGAGCTTCCCTGCTCCCAGCTGTCCGTGTCAGATGCGGCACCTGGAAATACCTGGAGAGGTAAAAACTCATCCCGTGGGAATTCTGTGTTTTTTCCTCCTTTGGAAAGTTCCTGATCTGTGGAATTCAGGTTGGTGGTGTTTCAGATTTGCTCTGCTGACCCATTTGCGGTTGTCCTGGTGGTGGGTGGCTTTGACAGCATTTCTTCTTCAAGTGCTTCCCACAGGGATGGGCTCAGAGGGAATTTTTGTCCTCCGGTGCTGGGAATTCTGAAGAAAACACAAACAGAAAGGCAGGAGGTGGCTCGGGGAATGTTTGGAATGTTTGGAAACCCTCTGGAACAAACTTGGCTTCACACGCAGCTCCTGTTGAAATCCGATTTAATTTATGGAGGGAGGAGGAATATTGGGTGAGAGGCCAGAATTTTGGGAATGCTGTCTGGTGGGAATCTGGTTATTGTTTGCTTGGCGAGGATTAATAGGATTCACATTTCTCCCGAGCCCGAACAGTTTGTACTTGGTTCAAATTAAATAATCCCTCAAAAAAACCTCACACCCAGATGGGAACAAACTCTGGGAATTGTGCTGGAAAATCCTCCTCTCCTGCCCCTGTGTTTGGTCATTCCCTGTAAGGTTTATTCCTTGAGCTGTGATCTCAGTGTGAATCTCTACTCGTGGAAGAACTTCCAGCTGGACTCGACTTCCACGAGCTTGGAAAACAAAACCCCGCGACGGCATCGGAGAGACGAGAACCTCGGTGCTGCAGGAACTCGGCGCGGAGCTCCGGGAACGGCCGGGAAAACTCTCGGAAAAGCTGCAAGAAGAGTTCGTTTCCAGGAGACAAGAGATGGACGAGGGGGAAATGAGGAATTCCCGGGTTTGGAGTTTTCCTGCTTTGGGCTGGGACAGGGTTGGGAGTTTTTGCCGCGGCTGCTCCGGCAGCGCCGTGTTCAGGGTTGGGAACGGGGACGGGGCTGGGGACGCGCTGATGTTCCTCGCCCTAAATCCAGAATTCCCGCTGTCCTCGCTCGGTCCCCGAGGAGCTGCACGAGGACTTTGCTGCTCTTTGATGTTTCACTGATCTCGGTCTCCATCCCTGACCTGCTTGGATGGGGCTTGGGGCACTCTGGGATAACGCGAGGTGTGGGAATGGGAATGGCAGGAGGTGGAATGGGATGGGCTTTAAGGTCCCTTCCAGCCCAAAGCCTTGTGTGATTCTCTCTCCAGAACTCTGTGGTGTTTCATTTTCCTCTCCCTGTATTTGTACCTTCTTTTCCCGCCCCGCAGCACCAAATTCTCAGTGATTTCACCCAAACCAAGCCCCACTTCCATTGATCACGGCGCTTTTTGCGTGGAGATTTTTTTTTGTTGTTGTTCCTGTACGGTTTTACTCCTCTCTGTTTCAAACCCTTTCTATTTAAGCTCTTGGAGAGATCGGATATTTTCTACCCACAGAGTTGCAGCCTCGTCCCACCCTGTGAATTCTTGCAGGGTTTGCTCTTCGCCCATGAGAGCGCTCATGGGAGTGTCCTCCTGGAAACCGCTCCGGCCTCGGCTCAGCTCCACCCGGCTGGAGCTGGTTGGAGTTCTCCACCTCAGTGGTTCCACTTCCAGCTCATCCCTCGTCACCCTCCCGACAGGGGGGTTTCACGCTTTGCCTTGCTGCTCCTAAAATTATTAATTGTAATTAAACCCGAACTCTGTTGTCACAAAGAAGTGAAATGCCGGGTTTTAAGCGATGCTGTTGCAAGTGTCACCACCGGTTGCGTTCCCTGTGAGATCCAATTTGTTGGGTTAAGCTTGTTAATCAGCTGTTTAATTGATTAATCACTTGTTCTCTATATTTAAGATTTTAAACAGTGAAAGAAAACATTTTTATTTGTGAATTTTGAGTGCTTTAAACTGTGGCGCAAATCCCGCTTCCGTGCCTCGGGTTGCTTTTCTCCCCGTCCTAGAAGCCGCTGTGAGCAGATGCCAAAGATGACCCATCTAATCCTTGTCTTTTAACTTGCAGCTTTGTGTTGTTCTTGGAAAGTTTCGCACCACTTGTGAATTCCCTGAACCTTGGCCTTGCCGGCCCCCTTGTGTTGGGCCCTCCTCCTTTTCAGCTTGCCCAAATTAAGACCCACTTGGCTCTCCAGCGCTCGGCTGCCGGCGGCGGGCGGGCGCCTCCCCGCGCTGGCGTCCGCCGGGCATTGCTGAAAGACGCAATGTTTAGCCCCAGAGGAACCTTGCCCCCGAGGCCCAGAGGACCCAACCCGGCGGGCGCCAAACCCCCGGCGGCGTTCGGGGCCGGAGGCGCGGCGGGGCCGCCCAGGAAAGCCGCGCCCGCGACGCCCCAAGGAGCGCCCCAGAGGTTCTCGGGGCAGGAGTGGACGGGTTCGCAGAGGATCAACGTCCGCGTCACGCTGCACAGGGCCGATCCCAGGAAAGTCAAGGAGAAGAGCGGCCTGCACCAGGAGCCGAAGGGAGACCCCCGTGCCACTCGCTGGGATGGCGGCCCCTGCCCCGCCGGCACCGCCGGCCCGAAGCCGCCCGGCCCGGCGCCGGTCTTGGAGCAGAACTCCAACCCCCAGAACCGCTACACGCCCGAAAGCGCCTCCAGCATTTTAGCGAGCTTCGGGCTGTCCAACGAGGACCTGGAGGAGCTGAGCCGCTACCCCGACGACCAGCTGACGCCCGAGAACATGCCGCGGATCCTGCGGGAGATCCGCATCCGCAAGATGGGCCACGCCGTGCCCGGCCTGCACGCTGCGAGCCGGGGGGAGGAGCCGGCGGGCGAGAGCGGCGGCGCCGCCGTCAAGAGCAAAGTGATCGACTACGGCCACGCCAGCAAGTACGGCTACACCGAGGACCCGCTGGAGATCCGCACCTACAACCCCGAGGCGCTGCCCGAGGAGCCGCTGGAAGCGCGCGTCTTCAATCCCGAAAGCTCGAGCGCGGAGAACCGGGAAGAATTCCAGCGGGAGCAGAGCGTGCCGGCGGCCGTCCCGCCGCCCAACGTGCCCAACGTCCCCAACGTGCCCAACGTGCCGTGCAACCCCGTGTTCCCGGCCGAAGACCTCATCAAGCTGCCGGCCTTCCCCGCCGACTCCTCGCCCGCTCCGTCGTTTTTCCCGGCCGAGCCGCCGGCCAAGGTGCCGGTGCTGTGCGGCGCCGCGCCCGCCGTGCTGCCGGTGGTGAAGCCGGCGTCCCAGCCGCCCATGCCGCCGGTGCTGCCGCCCATCCTGCCGGCGCTGCTGCCCACGCCGCTGCCGCAGCCCATGCTGCCCCCGGTGATGCCGCCGCTGGTCCAGCCGCCCGTGACCCAGCACGTGTTGCCGCCCTTGACGCCGCCGCCCTTCTCGGCCGGGCTCCTGGCCGCCATCAGCCAGCACGAGCAGAAGCAGCGCGACGCTGGCAGCGCCCATCCCGGGCCCAGCGCCCATCCCGGGCCTAGCGCCCATCCTGGGCCTAGCACCCATCCCGGGCCCAGCGCCCATCCAGGCCCCAGCGCCCACCCTGGCCCCAGCGCCCATCCTGGCCCCAGCGCCCATCACGGCCCCAGCGCCCATCCTGGCCCCAGCGCCCATCATGGCCCCAGCGCCCATCACGGCCCCAGCGCCCATCATGGCCCCAGCACCACCGGCGGGGCCCCGGCGGGACACAAACCCTACCACAAACCCTACCACTCACCCGCACAGGAGCCCATCAAATCCCCGTTCGGGGTGGTGAAGGCGTCCTGGCTGCCCGTGTTCCCCGAGAAGAGCAAACGCCTGCCCACCCCGTCCATGATGAACGACTACTATGCCACGTCGCCGCGAATATTCCCACATTTGTGTTCTCTGTGTAACCTTGAGTGCACTCATATGAAGGTGAGTGGCTTTCCCAGATTATTCCCTACGCGTGTGTACTCTGCACCTTTTCCTGCCGCTGGTTGTTTGCCTTGGGAATTCTGTGGATTGGGATGCTGATCGCCAAGGTTGAGTGTTGGGAATGGTGCTAGAGATGATTGTACCGGAGCGTTCTGCTCCCAGTTGCATTTCAGAGTTGCTTTACGTGTTGATTTTAATTTTTATTTTAGCGTTGAAACGGTTTTTTGACTTTGCAGCGGGTCTCAAACAGCAAAACAAACCTCGAGCAGCGGAGTGAAATTTTAATGTCGTGCGCGGGGGACTCAAATCATGTCTGGGGGAGGGTGAGATGTCTGTGTGTTCATTCCCCCCCCCCTCCTCCTCCAAACTCTGCCTGAAAACAAAAGAGCCCATTTAGAACCCGAAATTTCATCTTCCAAATCTGCTCTGTGTGACAACGCTGAATATTCCAGAGGCTGGCTCGGGGCGACGCGGAAAATGCGTCCATTCATCCCGCCGGGCTCTCAGCCTCGAAGGAAATCCCAGTTTGAGCTTTGAAGGAAAAAAATAAAGGGAGAAAATGGTGGATATTTGGAGATAAAAAATGTTTTGGAAGCTGTGGGTTTTCCTGGAAAAGCCCAAGGTTTGATCCATCAAAAATGTTGGAGAACGTGATCTAAAAACTCAGAGTAATTAATTAATAATTATTTAATGTGTTTGAATTGCAAAGTGTGGAGAGGCTGCGGGGGAGGGATTTTTGTAATTTGGCAAAATCCTGGAGATTTTAGGCTCTGTTTGCTGTGAGTTAAAAATCTGGCTGAAAATGGGGACGGCTTTGTTAGGGAAAAACCCAGAAATTCCCAAATCCTTTTCCCCAGGAGGCGCTGAGGGCCAGGGAGGTGGGCAGCTGGAAGTGGGAAGGGAAGGATGGATTTAAATAAAAATGGGTAAAATTGAACAGGAAGACGAAAGTGGGGAGTGTTAACAAAGGGAAAAAGCAATTTTGGAAAAGGGAATTAACTGAGATGGGAATTCTTAGCTCGTTTAAGGAGGGAAATGTTGTCACTGAAAATGTGTTGGCAAATCAGCTCTGGCTGAGGGTTTTGGGGTGGATTAAAGGTTGTGAGATCTTGTCCTGGTGCCACTGGGGTGGGATGTGTTCCCAGGAATGCTGATCCTACTGCAGCCCCCCAAACCTGCTCCCTGTCCTTCAGCTCTGGCCTGGATTCCCTTCCTTTGGGAAGTGTTTGGTGTTTTGTCTCCCAGGGACGCAGGAGACCTCCCAGGACCAGCCCTGGTGCAGAAGAACCACAAGAGTTTGGGAGTTTTATCCCAAAACTAAAACTTTGATGGAGAAATGTGCAGCTGGTGTATCCACGAATTGCAGAGATAGAAGAATTCCTCTCAATTCCAGCTCTGCAGTTCAGCAAATCCGGTCGGGTTCGGGTGGTTGGAGATGACCTGGACGTTCAAGATTTGTCTTCCCAACCGTTCCCTGTCCTGTGAGAGCTGGATGGGACCTCAGGTCGGAGGAGCCACCAGATCCAGTGATTCCCAAGGACTTGAGACATTTGATGCTGTCCCAGGTGGCCTGGCTGTCCTCGGCCCGGAGAGATGGATTTCACGGATGGCGGCGCTTGCAGTTGTCACCAGCTCCGTGCCCAGGTAGGACCGGCCACCCTGAGGTCGGGGTCAGCACCATTCGACGCCTCCGTCGGTGACAAGGACGCCGGGATCGGTCACCCTTGGCATGGTGAAGGTGACACCGAGCTCTGCCCTGGGATCACACCTGGAAGGGTTCTCCAGGACGGCCTGGGAAGGTGGGACCATCCCAACCTCGTGAGGTCCAGCGAGGGCAGGAGCTCCCGGAGCAGGACAATCCCAGCACAGATCCAGGATGGGAAGAGAACGATCGGAGCAGCTCTGGGAGAAGGACTTGGGGTGTCCTGGGCTGATCCCACAGCGTGGGCAGCAGGAAAGGTGGGAATCCTGCCCAGGTGAGACCCCACCTGCAGAGCTGCCTCCAGCTTTGGGGCAACGCCAGGAGGACCTGGAGCTGCTGGAGCAAATCCAGAGGAGGCCATGGAGATGCTCTGGAGCCAGGCTGGGAGAGCTGGGAATGTTCCCCTGGAGAAGGGAAAATTCCAGGGAATCCTCAGAGTCCCTGCAGGGGCTCCAGGAGAGCTGGAGAGGGACTGGGGACAAGGCCGGCAGGGACAGGAGCCAGGGAATGGCTCCCACTGGGAAAGGGGAGATTGGGCTGGGATCTTGGCAAGGAATTCCTGGCTGGGCTGGGATTCCCAGATTTGCTGTGGCTGCCCCTGGATCCCTGGCAGTGCCCAAGGCCAGCTTGGATGGATTTGGATCCACCTGGGATTGGGGGAGGTGTCCCTGCCCGTGGATGGGGTGGGAATGGATGGGATTTAAGGTCCCTTCCCACCCAAACCATTCCAGGATTCTGGGATAACAGAACTGATATTGGATGAAGATGAAGGTGCCCAATGAGGAAAACCTTCTCTATCCCATGTCTGAAGATCCAAAAAACAAAATTCCAGCGCTGGTTTCTGAGTTCAGGCGGTTGGTCGTGAGCTCCCTTTTTCCATGAAATTTTCGTGGATTTTTCCATTGTTTTTCCATAGATTTTTTTAAAATCTGCACTTGGATTGACTCATTTTGGGTCCAACCACACCGTGTTGCCCATGGGAAGAGAATTCCAACCACTGGAATATGAAACCCAGAAGTTCCCACCTGGATGTGGGATATTCATCCCAACATCATCCCTCCAACTTGGCTGTGCCAAAAATCTGGAAGCTGAATTTTCCCTGGAAAAAAAAAAAATCTCCCTGGATGTCATTTTTACAGATTTCTGATACATTTCAAGGGGGTTTTGTTTGTTTTTGGTTTAGAAGCCACAAGTTTTGGTGTTTGCCACCTGCATCCAGAGTTTTTTTTTATGGAAAATGGATCATTTGAAGCAGGCAGGTCCAACAAGTATTGGAAATTTGTGGAAGAAATGGTGGAAATTTGTGGAGGTGCCCATGGAAGGTGGGGTTGGGGCAGCACCAGAATTTGACAGATTTGGCCTCATTTTGGTGTCGGGGAGGAAGGGACGGGGTGAGAGGTTGGACTCTGATCCTGAGGAACGTTCCTGTGGGATCCTCAGGGCTGGCTGCGAGGAGGAGCAGCCACACCAAGGTGGGTTTTGGGGCATTAAAATCAGAATTTGAGGCCAAAATCGATGCTGGGGCCCAGTATTCCCAAAAATCTTTGTGTCCTGGATGGTTTTTAGGGCAAAATTCCCAATTCTGCTCTGGGATAGGCGGAATCTGACCCTCTGCTGTTCCCTTTCAATTCTAATTTCCAAAATCCTCAAAATCTCGAAGGATTTTATGGATATTCCATGGAGCAGCTTCGTTTTCAGCTCAGAATTGCGTCCTGCAGGAATAACAAAGTGGGATTTGTGGGATTCCTCCTTCTCCAAACACTTCACGTCTTGGATGGAGCAGATTTCTTGGAATAACAATTCCTTCATCCTCAATCCCCTCACATCTGGAATGAAGTGGATCTGAAACATTCCCAGCACGAGGGATGGATTTATCCTTATTTTTATCCACTTTGGTTCCCCAAATCCACTCAAAGTTGGGGTTGATGCCTCCTTGGACCAGGAATTTGTGAAATCCTTGGGATTTTGTGTTTTCCATGAAGATTTGCACTCGGAATTCCTTTATTGGACATTTTGCTCCACCACCTTCTGCTTCCGGGACTTCTTGGTGGTGATCCATGAGCGAGAGGAGGTTGGGATGGAATTAGGGAAGGTTGGAATGGAGGAGTTCAGATGGAATTTTTCTTTCTCACCAAGATTTATGGGGAGGGATCCTGTAATTTTAGGAGAAGGATTTCTTTGGATCCCAGGAAAACGTGGCTGTTCCGTCCCTGGAATGTCCAAATCCAGGTTGGATGGGGCTTGGAGCAACCTGGGATCATCTTGGGGTTCTCTTCCAACCCAACCATTCCATGATGGTTCCATGGACAGTGGAATATTCCCAAAGAGTGGGAAGAGTTAGGAATGAGGCAAAAAGGAGGAAAATCCATCAATCCAGAGGATTTTGGGTTCTGTGGACAGTGGAATATTCCCAAAGAGTGGGAAGAGTTAGAAATGAGGCAAAAATGAGGAAAATCCATAAATCCAGAGGATTTGGGGTTCTGTGGACAGTGGAATATTCCCAAAGAATGGGAAGAGTTAGAAATGAGGAAAAAGGAGGAAAATCCATAAATCCAGAGGGTTTTGGGTTCTGTGGACAGTGGAATATTCCCAAAGAATGGGAAGAGTTAGGAATGGGGCAAAAGGGAGGAAAATCCATAAATCCAGAGGATTTGGGGTTCTGTGGACAGTGGAATATTCCCAAAGAGTGGGAAGAGTTAGAAATGAGGCAAAAAGGAGGAAAATCCATCAATCCAGAGGATTTTGGGTTCTGTGGACAGTGGAATATTCCCAAAGAATGGGAAGAGTTAGAAATGGGGCAAAAGGGAGGAAAATCCATCATTCCAGAGAGTTTTGGGTTCTGTGGACAGTGGAATATTCCCCAAGAGTGGGAAGAGTTAGGAAATGAGGAAAAAGGAGGAAAATTCATAAATCCAGAGGATTTTGAATTCTCTGGACAGTGGAATATTCCCGAAGAATGGGAAGAGTTAGAAATGGGGCAAAAAGGAGGAAAATCCATCAATCCAGAGGATTTTGGGTTCTGTGGACAGTGGAATATTCCCAAAGAATGGGAAGAGTTAGGAATGGGGCAAAAAGGAGGAAAATCCATAAATCCAGAGGGCTTTGGCTGGTGAGGACCTGGCAAGGAGAAGAAGATTCCCAAAAGTCTTGGATCAGCAGCTGGAGGGATTTGGGAGCCAAAACTCCTCCTTGGAACCATGGAATTGGAATTCTGGGAGTCAAATTCCCTTTTCCCTCAAGTTTTCCTTGAGGAGCAGCTTTTTTTTTTTTTTTTTTTTTTTTTTTTTTTTTTTTTTAATTCTGGTTAAATTCAAGCCTGGAAAAATCCGGATCCTTGCGAATGGGATTGCTTAGGGATGGTCTGGAATTAGGGAAAACCAGCTTGGAATGCTGAAAACACTGTTTTATCCTCACGGGAATTATTCCATCATCCAGACTCTTCAGATCCATTATTTTATATTAATTTTTCCGTATTTGATTGGAATTTATACTCTAAGAGCCGCTGGAAGTTGATTCTTTTTTTTTTTCCAAGAATATTTAATAATTATCAGTGGTGATTTTCCACCTTGAAGAATTCCAAGAGTTTTCCAAGGAATATTCCTTCTCCATAGCAACCTCCCTCCTTTTTTTCCCAGCTCCCTGTCAATATTCCCAGTTAGGAATTTAGGCATTTTTATATGGAGTTAAATCCAATTTTTATCCGATTTTTTAAACGATAAACGAGCGTGAAAACCATCCCGAGGCTCTGCGATGACCTTTGAGCTGTGACATGATGGGAGCTGAACATTTCCAGAGCTCCAGGCGCAGGAATTCCAGGCTGGGAATGAGGTTGGATGTGGAGATGCCGCATCTGGAGGGAGCCGGAATCGCTCACGGATGTGACGGCAAATCGTGGATTCATTCCCTTTAATTCTGATTGATTTTGGAGCAGCCTCCGGTGATCCACGTGCTGCTGCCATCCTGCTCGTTAATTGATGAATTAATTGATTTAATGAATTAATTGTTTCGTTTAATTAATTGATTGAATGAATCAGTTTAATTGAGGCTTTTGCGCTGGAGCAGCAATAATCAGCTTTTAACGCCCTGCCTGAATTCCATGGGAATTTGACTTTCCATGGGAATTTGACGTTTCCGAGGTAAAGGTGGGCTGGAGGGTGCAAGCCCAGCCCCGAGGGGTTATTGGGGTGATCCCGGGGTTCCCACCCTGACCCCGCTTTTCCCGATGTTCTCTTTTCCCCAGGATTGGATCCTGCACCAGAACAACCCCGAGCACCTCGAGAGCTGCCGCAGGCTGCGCCAACAGTAAGGGATCCACCGGGGAGCTGATGGGGATCCAGTGGGAATCAATTGGGGATCCGCCAGGGATCCAGTGGGAATCATTTGAGGATCCGCCAGGGATCCATTGGGAATCATTTGAGGATCCGCCAGGGATCCAGTGGGAATCATTTGAGGATCCGCCAGGGATCCAGTGGGAATCATTTGAGGATCCGCCAGGGATCCATTGGGAATCATTTGAGGATCCGCCAGGGATCCAGTGGGAATCATTTGAGGATCCGCCAGGGATCCAGTGGGAATCATTTGAGGATCCGCCAGGGATCCATTGGGAAACAATTGGGGATCTGCCAGGGATCCATTGGGAATCATTTGAGGATCCGCCAGGGATCCATTGGGAAACAATTGGGGATCTGCCAGGGATCCATTGGGAATATTTTGGAGACCCAGTGGGAATCAGTTGGGGATCCACTGGGGAATCAAGTGGGAAGCAATTGGGGATCCACCAGGGATCCAGTGGGAATCATTTGAGGATCCGCCAGGGATCCATTGGGAAACAATTGGGGATCTGCCAGGGATCCATTGGGAATCAGTTGGGGATCTGCCAGGGATCCATTTGGAATAATTTGGAATCCCAGTGGGAATCAGTTGGGGATCCACTGGGGAATCAAGTGGGAAGCAGTTGGGGATCCACCAGGGATCCATTGGGAATCATTTGAGGATCCGCCAGGGATCCATTGGGAAACAATTGGGCATCTGCCAGGGATCCATTGGGAATATTTTGGAGACCCAGTGGGAATCAGTTGGGGATCCACTGGGGAATCAAGTGGGAAGCAATTGGGGATCCACCAGGGATCCATTGGGAAACAATTGGGGATCTGCCAGGGATCCATTGGGAATAATTTGGAGACCCAGTGGGAATCAGTTGGGGATCCACTGGGGAATCAAGTGGGAATCAGTTGGGGATCTGCCAGGGATCTGTTGGGAATGCACTGTTGAACCCATGTCAGTCAATTTGGAATCTGCTTTGGGATCCATTGGGAATCCCTTGTATAATCCATTTGGGATCCACTGGGGATCAGCTGTGAGTTCAGTGGGAATCCATTGGGAATGCACTGGGGAATCCATTTGGGATCCACTGGGGATCTGATGGGGATCTGCTAAGGATCCACTGGGAATCAGTTGGGGATCTGCCAGGGATCCATTGGGAATCAATTGGGGATCAATTGGGAATAATTTGGAAACCCAGTGAGAATCAATTGGAGATCCACTGGGGAACCGAGTGGGAAACAGTTGGGGATCCACCAGGGATCCATTGGGAATCATTTGGGGATCTGCCAGGGATCCCAGTGGGAATAATTTGGAGATCCACTGGGGAATCAAGTGGGAAACAGTTGGGGATCCGCCAGGGATCCGTTGGGAATCATTTGGGGATCTGCCAGGGATCCGTTGGGAATGCACTGTTGAACCCATGTCAGTCAATTTGGAATCTGCTTTGGGATCCATTCGGGATCCTTTGGGAATCCCTTGTATGATCCATTTGGGATCCACTGGGGATCTTTTTGAGATCCGCTGGGAATTCGTTGGGAGTCCACGGTGGGATCCATTGGGAATCTGCTGTGGGATCCATTTGGGACACACTGGGCATCCACTGGGAATCAATCGGGAATCAGTTGGAGATCCACTGTGGGATCCATTTGGGATCCATTTGGGATCCACTGGGGAGCTGCCAGGAATCTTGGGAGTCCATTGGGAATCCACTGGGAATTCACTCGGGATCCACTGGGGATCCATTGGGAATGCACTGCTGAATCCATTTGGGTTCCATTGGGAATCTGCTTTGGGATCAGCTGGGAATCAATTTGGAACTGACTGTGGAATCAATTTGGGATCCATTTGGAATCCACCGAGGATCCATCGGGAGTGCACTGGGAATCAGTTGGGGATTTGGTAGGGATCCATTGGGATTCCATGGGGGAATCCATTTGGGATCCAGTGGGAATCCACTGGGGAATCAGTTGGGAGTGCACTGGGAATCTGTTTGGGATCCATTGGGAATTCACTGTGGGATCCATTGGAAATCCACTGTGGGATCTATTAGGAATCCAGCATTCCATGATTCCCAGTGTGTCCTAAATGGATCCACTGTGGGATCAGTTTGGGACACATTGGGGATCCACTGGGAATCAATTGGGGGTCCACTGGGAAGCCATTTGGGATCCATTGGGAATCCACTGGGGATCTTTTGGGGATTCACTGGGAAGTCACTGAGAATCCATTGTGAATGCACTGTGGAATCTATTTGGGATCCTTTGGGAATTCACTGGGAATCCATTGGGAATCCACTGTGGGATCCATTAGGAATCCAGCATTCCATGATTCCCAGTGTGTCCCAAATGGATCCACGGTGGGATCAGTTTGGGACACATTGGGAATCCACTGCAGGATCCATTTGGAATCCATTGGGAATCTACTGGGGATCTTTTGGGGATTCACTGGGAATCCATTGGGAATGCACAGCGGGATTCACTAGGAATACTCTGGGAATCCATTTGGGATCCGCTGGGGAACTTTTTGGGATCCACTGGGAATCCATTGTGGATCCATTGTGAATGCAGCGTGGAATCCATTTGGGATCCACTGGGGATATTTTTTGAGACCCACTGGGAATCTGTTGGGAATGCAGCATGGAGTCCATTTGGGATCCATTTGGAATCCACTGGGGAATCAGTTGGGAGTGCACTGGGAATCTGTTTGGGATCCATTTGTGATCCACCGTGGGATCCGTTTGCGATCCATTTGAAATCCACTGGGGATCCATTGAGGATCACGGAATGCTGGAGAGGGACCTTAAATCCCAACAATTCCACCCCATCCATGGGCAGGGACACCTCCCACCATCCCAGGTTGATCCAAGCCCATCCAGCCTGGCCTTGGGCACTGCCAGGGCTTGGGAATTCCTGGAAATTCCAGCCCAGCCAGGAATTCCTTGCCAAGATCCCAGCCCAATCTGCCCTTTCCCACTGGAGCCATTCCCTGGCTCCTGTCCCTGCAGGCCTTGTCCCCTGTTTTATAATCCCTGATCCCTGAAACCCAAACATTCCCTTTTCCATTTCCCCCCCTCTTTTTTCTCTTTTTTTTTTTCTCCTTTCCCCCCTTTTTCCTTTCTCCAGCTCTCCTGGAGCCCCTGCAGGGACTCTGAGGATTCCCTGGAATTTTCCCTTCTCCAGGGGAACATTCCCAGCTCTCCCAGAGCCAAGGGGCTCCAAAATCCTGGAATGGTTTGGGGTGGGAGGAACCTCAAATCCCATCCAAGGATATTCCCAGCAGAAATCAGCGTTTGGTGCTTCTGGGGTCCCAAATGGGAATATTTATCTGGAAAAATCCTTTTTTTTTTGAGAATTTTGGCTTTTCCACTGACATTTTCTTGGCTTTGTCGTTGACAGATATCCCGAGTGGAATCCTGAGGCTCACTCCTCCAGCAGGTACCTTGTGCTTTCCATTCCTTCCTTAATTACTCATTAATTTATTAATTTTAACAATTTCTTTTCCCTGGTTTGCACTTTCCAACCCCTCTCCACGAGGTCACATTTTTATTGGAAAATTTTATAAAAAACAAATCTCATTTCCCCCTTTCCCCAAATCCCCCTTTCCCCAGTCCCCCTTTTCCCATATTCAGTTTAATCAGTTTTTACCATTTTTTCCAGTCTTATCCAGTTTTTCCTGTTTAGTCCAGATTTGTCCAGTATTTCCCTGGTATTTTTCTCATTTCTTCCTTTCCCCAGAAATCTCATTTCCCCCTTTCCCCCAATCCCCCATTTCCCCAAATCTGTCTGGGGAGTTTTTTCCCAGTTTTCCCCCAGTTTCTAATTAGTTTTTTTCCAGCTTTGTCCAGCGTTTCCCATTTTGTTTCTCATTTCCCCCATTCCCCAATTCCCCATTTCCCCCATTCCCCAATTCCCATTCCCCAATCCCATATCCCCAATCCCATATCCCCAATCCCATTTACCCAATCCCATTTACCCAATCCCAAATCCCCAATCCCATCTCCCCAATCCCTTCTCCCCAATCCCATATCCCTAATCCCACATCTCCAATCCCACATCCCCAAATCCCCATATCCCCAATCCCACTTCCCCAAATCCCATCTCCCCAGTCCCATATCCCCAATCCCATCACCCTTTCCCAATCCCATCACCCCAATCCCATATCCCCAATGCCATTTCCCCAAATCCCCATTTCCCCAATCCCATTTCCCAAATCTCATTTCCCCAATCCCATTTCCTTTATCCCCATCCCCACCCCTTTCCTCACAATCCCTCACCCCCCATATCCCCAATCCCATATCCCCAATCCCATTTCCCCAGTCCCACATCCCCACTCCCACCACCCTTTCCCCAATCCCATTTCCCCAATCCCATTTCCCAATCCCATTTCCCCAATCCCCATTTCCCCAATCCCATTTCCCCAATCCCATTTCCCCAATCCCATTTCCCCAATCCCATATCCCCAAATCCCCATCTCCCCAATCCCATTTCCCCAATCCCATATCCCCAATCCCATTTCCCCAATCCCCATTTCCCCAATCCATTTCCCCAATCCCACATCCCCAAATCCCCATTTCCCAATCCCATCTCCCCAATCCCACATCCCCAATCCCATATCCCATTTCCCAATCCCATCTCCCCAATCCCACATCCCCAATCCCACATCCCCAATCCCACATCCCCAATCCCATATCCCCAATCCTATTTCCCCAATCCCACCACCCTTTCCCCAATCCCACATCCCTAATCCCATATCCCATTTCCCAGTCCCACATCCCCAATCCCATATCCCATTTCCCAGTCCCACATCCCCAATCCCATATCCCATTTCCCAGTCCCACATCCCCAATCCCATATCCCATTTCCCAATCCCACATCCCCAATCCCATATCCCCAATCCCACCACCCTTTCCCCAATCCCACATCCCCAATCCCATATCCCATTTCCCAATCCCATCTCCCCAGTCCCACATCCCCAGTCCCGTATCCCCGCTCCCATCCCCCTCTCCCCAGTCTCACCCCGTCTCTCTCTCTCTCTCCGTCCCGGGGCAGGCATGGCGCCGAGCGCAAGGAGAACCGCACCCCGCGCCGCCGCTCGCCGTCCCCGCCCGGCCCGGCCCGCCGCCGCCCGCGGCCGCCGCCGCTCCCGCCCGGCCCCTCCTCGCGCCGCCGCCGCTCCCGCTCGCGCAGCCCCGGGCGGCTCCGGCGGCCGCGCTCGCGCAGCCCCGGCGGGCGGCGCCTCCCGCGGCCCCGCTCCCGCTCCCGCTCCCGCTCCCGCCCGCGCAGCCTCGCCCGCGGCAGCCCCCGGGCGCGCCGCAGCCGCTCCCGCAGCGCCGAGCGCGCCCGCGGCGGCCGCAGCAGCCGCTCCTCCGAAGGTGTGCGCGCACCGGGGGTACACCGGGCGGGGGGGGCATTAACGGGGTTCAGAGCGCGCCCGCAGCCGGCCCAGCCGCTCCTCGGAAGGTGTGCGCGCACCGGGGGTACACCGGGCAGGGGGGGCATTAACGGGGTTCAGAGCGCGCCCGCAGCCGGCCCAGCCGCTCCTCGGAAGGTCTGCGCGCACCGGGGGTACACCGGGCACACACACACCGGGCACACACACAGCAGGCACACTCACACCGGGCACACACACACTGGGCACACACGCAGCAGGCACACACCGGGCACACAGCAGGCACACTCACACCGGGCACACAGCAGGCACACTCACACCGGGCACACAGCGGGCACACAGCGGGCACACAGCGGGCATTAACGGGGTTCAGGGCGTGCCCGCATCAGGCCCAGCCTGGATTCTCAGTTTTCTTATCTCCAATGGGAATTTTGGAACGCTCGCTGGCATTCCCGATGGTTTTTACACCCCCAGTGGGAACTTTGGGATTGCTCAGTGGGATTCCCAAATTTTATCCTCCCCCAAAGGGAATTTTGGGAGCTCTGTGCGATTCACGATGTTTTCTTCACCCCCAATGGGAATTTTGGGAATTCTCAGCGATTCCCTAAGTTTATACTCCTCTCCCAAAGGGAATTTTAGGAATTCAGCGGAATTCTCCAAGTTTACCGTCCCCCACAAAGGGAATTTTGGGAATTTTCTGCTGTTCCCAAAGTTTTCTTCATCCCCCACAAAGGGAATTTTGGGAATTCACTGGGATTCCTGATGGATTTTTCATCCCTGATCAGAATTTTGGGAATGCTCAGTTGGATTCCGAATGGGGATTTTGGGAATTCACTGGGATTCACGATGGCTTTTTACCCCTAATTGGAATTTTGGGAATGCTCAATGGGATTCCTGGTGGGAATTTTGGAAATTCTGGGGCGTTCCCAAAGTTTTCTTCACCCCCAACTGGAATTTTGGGAAATCTCAGCGAGGTTCCTGATGAATTTTGGGAATGCTCAGTGGAATTCCGATGATTTTTTTAATCCTCAATTGGAATTTTGGGAATTCTCAATGGAATTTCCCAAAGTTTTCTTCACCACCAATGGGAATTTTGGGAATTCACTGGGATTCCCGGTGGTTTTTCGACCCCTAATTGGAATTTTGGGAATGCTCAGTGGGATTCCCTAAATCTTTTTAAACCCACTGGGAATTTTGGGAATGCTCAGTGGGATTCCCAATGGGAATTTTGGGATTCCTCGATGGGATTCCCAAATTTTTTCCACCCCCAAAGGGAATTTTGGGAATTCAGTGGGGTTCCCATAATTTTCACCCCTGATTGGAATTTTGGGATTCCTCAGTGGAATTCCCAGTGGGAATTTTGGGATTGCTCAATGGGATTCCCAGTGGGAATTTTGGGATTGCTCAATGGGATTCCCAATGGGAATTTTGCGATTCCTCAATGGGATTCCCAATGGGAATTTTGGGATTCCCCAATGGGATTCCCAATGGGAATTTTGCGATTCCTCAATGGGATTTCCAATGGGAATTTTGGGATTCCTCAATGGGATTCCCAGTGGGAATTTTGGGATTCCCCAATGAGATTCCCAAGGTTTTTTCCACCCCCAAAGGGAATTTTAGGAGTTCAGTGGGGTTCCCATAATTTTCACCCCTGATTGGAATTTTGGGATTGCTCAATGGGATTCCCAATGGGAATTTTGGGATTCCTCAATGGGATTCCCAAATTTTTTCCACCCCAAAAGGGAATTTTGGGAATTCAGTAAGATTCCCAATTTTTAACCCCTGATTGGAATTTTGGGATTGCTCAGTGGAATTCCCAATGGGAATTTTGGGAATGCTCAATGGGATTCCCAATGGGAATTTTGGGAATGCTCAGTGGAATTCCCACTGGGAATTTTGGGATTCCTCAATGGGATTCCCAGTGCGAATTTTGGGATTCCTCAATGGGATTCCCAATGGGAATTTTGGGATTCCTCAATGGGATTCCCAGTGGGAATTTTGGGATTCCTCAATGGGATTCCCAATGGGAATTTTGGGATTCCTCAATGGGATTCCCAGTGGGAATTTTGGGATTCCTCAATGGGATTCCCAATTGGAATTTTGGGAATGCTCAGTGGAATTCCCAATGGGAATTTTGGGAATGCTCAGTGGAATTCTCAATGGGAATTTTGGGATTCCTCAATGGGATTCCCAATGGGAATTTTGGGAATGCTCAGTGGAATTCCCGATGGGAATTTTGGGATTCCTCAATGGAATTCCCATTTTTTCCCCCCCCCCAAAGGGAATTTTGGGATTCCCAGGATTTTTTTTAGGGATAAATCCAAAACCTTGGGAATGCTCCAGCCAATAACCACCTGTGGGTTCTCCGCAGCCTCGCATTAATTAACGACTAATTAAGGACTAATTAAGGACTAATTAAAGCAGCCCCAGCAGCGCAGGAAGGCTCCGAGCTTGTAAGTACGGCGGGCTCGGACAGGAGCAGGCAATTCCCAAAGAATTCCCAGGAAAATCCCAAAAAATTCCCAAAACATTGACAAAAAATTTTTTTTTAAATCCCCCCATTAATTACTGGGGATTTTTTTGAAAAAAAAAAAAAAAAACCCAAATATTCCCCCAAAATTCCCATCTTATTCCCATAATTTAAAAAAATCCCCCAAAAATTCCAAAATAAATTTCCCAAAATTCCCATTTTTTCCCCCAAAATATTTTAAAAAATCCATAATTATTTTTTGAAAATTGCTATTTTTTCTAAAACAACCCCCTAAGATTTCTTAATTTTCCCCAAAATTCCCAAAGCGATCCCCCCAAAATTCCCATTTTTTCCCCAAAATTCCCCTTTTTTCCCCAAAATTTCCAAAAATCCCCCCAAAATTCTCTTTTTTCCAAAAACATCTCCCAAAATTTCAATGTTTTTCCAAAAATCCCCCCAAATTCCCTTTTTTCCCCAAGTATGCCCAAAAGAATTCCCAAGAAATTCCTGTTTTTTCCCCAAAATCCACAAAAAAATGCCCAAAAATTCCCATTTCTCTCCCCCAAAAATTCCCATTTTTTCAAAAAAATCCCCCAAAACTTTCCCATTGTTTCCCCAAAATTCCCAAAAAATCCCCCTGGAATTCCCTCCTTTTCCCCCCAAAAAGTTCCCATTTTTTCCCAAAATTCCCCAAAATTCCCCCCAAAAATCCAATTTTTGTCCAAAGAATCCCCCAAAATCCCCAAAAAAATCCCCACAAAATTCCTTTTTTTGTCAAAAAAATTCCCATTTTTTCCCCAAAAACATTTAAAAAATTCCCATTTTTTCCCACAACATTTCCAAAAAAATCCCCAAAAATTCCCATTTTCCCTCAAAAAATGTCCATTTTTTCCCAAAATTCCCAAAAAAAACCCTAAAAATTCCCATTTTTTTCTCCAAAAATCCCCCATAAAATTCCCATTTTTTCCCCATTTTTCCCCAAAAATTCCCATAAAATTCCCATTTTTCCCCCAAAAATCCATATAAAATTCCCATTTTTCCCCCAAAAATCCCCCATAAAATTCCCATTTTCTCCTCCAAAAAATTCCTATAAATTCCCATTTTTCCCCAAAAATCCACAAAAATTCCCTTTTTTCCCCCAAAAAATCCCCATTTTTTCGAAAAAGACACCCAGTTTTTTCCCAAAATTCGCTGAAGTATCCCCAGAAAAAAATTGTTTTTTTGGTTTTTTTTTTTTTTTTTTGTTTGTTTTTTTGTTTTTTTTTTCTTGTAGCCCCATTTTTTTGCCCACAACCGCCATTTTTTTCCCTCCAAAATTCCTAAAAAATCCCCTAAAATTCCCATTTTAAAAAAAAAATCCCGTTTTCTCCTGAAGTTCCCTAAAACATCCCCCCAAAATTCCCATTTTTCCCTCAAAAAATTTCCTTTTTTTCCCAAAATTACCATTTTTCCCCAAAAAATCCCCGTAAAATTCCCATTTTCCCCCCCAAAAATCCCCATAAATTTCCCATTTGTTCCCCAAAAAATCTCCATAAAATTCCTGATTTTGTCCCCAAAAAATCTCCCAAAATTCCCTTTTTTTCCTCAAAAAATCCATATAAAATTCCCCTTTATCCCCAAAAAATCCTTAAAAATTCCCCCTTTTCCCCTAAAAATCCCTATAAAATTCTCATTTTTCCCCAAAAAACCCCTTTAAAATTCCCACTTTTTCCCCATTTTTCCCCAAAAAATCCCTATAAAGTTCCCATTTTTTCCCAAAAAAATCAATTTTTTTTCCCAAAACTCCCCCAAAAGATCCCCTAAAATTCCCATTTTTTCCCAAAATTCCCATTAAAAAATCCCCTAAAATTCCCATTTTCCCCCCAAAAAATCCAGGTTTTTTTCCCAAAATTCCCAAAAAAACCCCTAAAAATTCCCATTTTTTTCCCCAAAAAAATCCCCATAAAATTCCCATTTTTTTCCCCATAAAATTCCCAGTTTCCCCCCAAAAAATCCCTAAAAATCCCATTTTTCCCCATTTTTCCCCCAAAAAATCCCTATAAAATTCCCATTTTTCCCCAAAATTCCCGTTAAAAAATCCCCCAAAATCCCCATTTTTTTCCCCAAAAAATCCCCATTTTTTTCCTCATTTTTTCCCCAAAAATCCCCCATAAAATCCCCATTTTTTCCCCAAAAAACCCCTATTAAAATCCCATTTTTCCCCGTTGCAGCGCGCCGCGCGGCGCTGGAGGCGGTGATGCGCACGCTGGGCCCGGGCTTCA